GAGAGCGACCGGCGTCAGTGTGAGTGAGGAGAGCATGGCAACATGCAAATGCAGAGTGAGCGCACTTTACTTTACTCTCTGCATAGTTCTTTAATGCGTGTGAGTGTGAGTGTGGGAGAGAGCTAGGCCTGCGACCTAGCGGGTGGTTGTATAGATCAGAGTGCTTTTATTTCATGAATGTATGTACATATATCCATACACATATATGAGTATCAAAACTAGGAGAGGAAAGCACAGAGCAATAATTGGATTACATGTAAAATGGCGTAGTAACAGAGAAGCATGCTATTCACATTATGCAAAATACTCAAACTAGCAGAGCCAATACAGCTGTTAAAATACCTATGTATGTATGTACATWTATACAGGTATGTGTTTGAAGAATACAAAAACAGCTGCGAGCATTCGATATCAAACGTATAAAATATTTAGAAGAATTTTATCAATGAGCTTTCAAGTTTTAGGCAATCACAATTGCGTTTGCTGAGCTTATGATGTGATGTGATGTGACACAGACAAAATTATATTAATCAAATTAATGATTATTTAATATTATTTAAATATAATTTGCTAACTTTTTCGACCTGGGTATTATAAATTTGTTAAGTTGGTTTTAGCTATTTTGTATATCAATACATTTTTTATGACTTACATTATAAAAATAAATCTGTTTTTAATTTGAACTTAGTTAAAACTAAGTTCTAAAACTATAAAAAGAAAGACCTATTGAAAATTGTAGGCCTTATCCGAAATAAAAAGAATCATTAAAAATTAAACAACAAAATTAAACTGAAACTATTCCAATTATTCACATATTCACTTCACCAACCTTATGACCGCCATATTTTTTAATTTTTAGTAATATAAAAAATTAATTATATCTGCAATCTACAGAAAAAATCTTCAAATATTTCTGGTCAACTTGTCAGTATGGAAACAAAGATACTATTAAAATTGCTTTTAATATAAATATCCTTATGGCAACTATATGTTGAAGTCATAACCCTCGTCTACAAATGAAATTTACTTCATTAACTTGAGACAAAAATCCAGAAATATATCTGATCAACTTCAATGGTCCGAAATATTACATATTTAAGAACCACACATTTTTAATTAAAATTTTTTTTTATTTCTAAAAGTTCAAAAATACATTTCATCGGTATTATTACTCGATGTCAATAGCCAGTAATTAATATTCACGTTCATCGGCTAAGGCCGCTTTGCATTCAAAACAAAATGACACCGACAACCGAGTTGAATACACTTTCAGGCGAACACGGCCGTTTCTGCTGCACCGCCCACAAAAATAGTGTAACATAAACCGGCAATTTTCATTCATAAATTGTTTAAAATTGTTTCCGCTTAATTGACGCAAACACAGCAAAGGATATGGCAAAGGCTACTGCTTCCTAACGGTTCAACACCTTCCACCCCCTTTTGGCATGCAATGCAAAGTGGCTAAAAACCGTAAGAACAAAACAAAAAAGTGACACACCTTGCAGCAGCAGGCAATAGCAAAAGCAAAAGCTAAAATCAACCGAAGTCCGATGATGAAATAGGAGAATGAAGGAACATCAGACAGCAAGAGGATAGCCAGGCCGCTTTGCTTTTGGGTGCGGCAGAAAGAAAATATTGAGAGAAAGAGAGCAAATGCAGCCGCAGCGCAGTCAACGGCTGCAGTAGCGGCACTAGCAGCAGCAGCAATAGCGGCACTAGAGTAGCGGCAGCAGCTGTCAGCTGAGCGCGCCTCAAGATATGCAATACACAGAGAGCGAGAGAGCGTAAGCTAGAGAGCGCGCTTAGCTGCAAGCAGCGACGCCAACGCCGACAGCGTTTTTTAGGTTAAACGTCGACTGCACCCGGCGCTGCACAAAACGCAGCTGTATGCGGCTATGTGTGTGTATGTGTGCGTGTGTGTAGGCGGCATTTGGCAGCAAAGTGTAGAGAAATGCGCTCAGCGACGCTGGGCAGCCCATTGAGCCAAGTTTTTACTATCGTCAGTGTGCATGCACATACATATGTGCATGGTGCGTGTGTGTGTGTCTGTATGTGTGTACATGTAAATGTGAAAAATCGACCATGGGTGTGGGCACCTTACATGCTAATATGCAATTACAACCACAAAACAACAACAACTGCAACGACAATTCGCTTACAGTTACAGTATTTTTCTTTCAGTTAACCATTTCTTACTTTAGTTGCATTTGATTGAGTGCAAGAGTGAGATAGAGAGACTGCCGCAAAATTATTCTTCACTTATTTTCCACACAACTTTAGCTTTTCTTTTGTTGTTGCTTAAGTTCTTCTTTTTTTTTTTTTTTTTTTTGAGAAAAACTGGAACTTTAGGCTCGCTTTAAATGAGTTTTAAAATACACGCACAAAATTGTAGATTTTAACCGATATACACAATATACGATGCATACATATGTGTATGTATATGTATTTATATGTGTATGTAATTATGTGAGTATGCTAGATGTGTGTATTATACCGATATACAACAATTTATAAACGACGACGATACGACGATAATCAAAAAACACAACTTGCTGCCGGAGAGTGCAAGAACTAAATGATTAAAGTGTTCAATTGCCGCCAGGATAAATGCAGCCAGGACAACGAAAACGTCGACGTCAGCGCCAACAGCGCAGTCATTTGCTGCAGCTACTCTCTCCCTATTGGGCTGTACAGTTGCGCGGCACAGCGGACGAGGCGAAAGCTGAAACAAAACTGCGTAGTTTTCGAACCGAACAGTGGAGCAAGAGATTCATGCTGCGCTTTAATATATAGTACAAATAATTTATTATTTATTTTAATTTATTATTGCAACAGATTTGGAATTCACACTATCGAAATTAGTTTGATTAATATACTAGTCAATATTTATATCGAATTAAATAAAGCTTTTTATTTCGTTATGTGAATAGATAACATATATATATACAAAAAATAGATTTATCATAAAGAATGAAATCTCTATTTAACATATTTAATTATAATTGTTACCTCCTTTATTTTATGTTCACATTGCACATTTAATATCAAATAAATTATCACTAGATAATTTGAATTTATTTCATATTCAATGTGCAGTCAACACAATATTTGATATATTAATTAAGATAGGATAAGAATTTATTAAATTATATGCATTAAAATAATAATTTAAATTTGCCTTTGATATACAATAATGAGTGAATTCATGATAAATTAATTGCGCACCACTGTGCAGTCAACACAAAATTTGCTATACTAAAAGGAGAAGAAGAAGCGGAAGATGAAACGACACAACAATAACAAAAAGCTGCAGCGTTGAATGCGCAGGTACAGCAGCACCAGCAGCAGCGCCAACAGCGTCGGCAGAACCGCACTCGCTGCAACAGTCAGTCAACAATACAACGGTACTGCACATGCTCTCCTCTCAGTGAATTCGTATCCGTGTTTCTTTCCCTATTTCTCTCTCGCACTCTCTCGCTCACGCTTTAGCACTTAGCCGAATACCCTACATTTGGATACAAAACATAAACAAGGAAATGCAGCGATGACGGCGACACAAACACGAAACAAATTGCGGTAGGTTCTCTGCCAGGGAAAGACGCGAAGAAAGACTCAGAGAGCGAGAGAGAGAGAGAGCTCTAGAGAGAATGCCGGCCGCATATCAGCAGCAGATTCGTCGTTGGCCCAACAGCCAAAGAGGCACCCAAACAAACAGTAAAACATAGAGATACAAAGGATTTGCTAGCTGGCTTGTAAAGGCAGCTGACTGCTGCTGCTGGTGCTGGTGCTGCAGCTGCTACCAGTGAGCGGCGTGCAAATGAGCCGATAGCCGAACACCGACTGCACCAGGCAGCAAGAAGCTCAACTTGACATCATTTGTGTCAAAAGACCATTGAACTCTGTGCGGGGGAAGTTGCACTTCTACTGAAACCCCAACCCCAATTCCAACCCCAACAACACAAAAACGCTCTCAGCAAGCTCCGTTCATTGTTTTGTTGCTGTTGCTATTGCTGTTGTTGTGGTTGCCTATTGGCGCAAGCAGCAAGTGTTTACATGCAAATACATATAAACATATACTTATTACGTATGAGTAATTTATGAGTGTGTGTGTGGCTGTCAGAGCCCTGCAAAGTAAACACAGTGGCCAGTGCATGTCAAACTGCACAAATATCGAATGCAAATCATTTGCCACGTCCCATTCGCTTTAGAATTATAATCTTTCAATTATTTAAATTAATATATATATAAATTTTT